ATAACTAAATCCCACAGCTTCACTACTAGTAGAGAGACGCTGCCAGGTAGAATTAATTCACACACGCAATCACTCTCATTCTCTCTAATGCATTCATATGAATGTAATCTTTACTCAGCTACTTTATCTGTATCTGATTTAGAACGAGCAGAAATCTGTGAGAAATATAACGAGCGACTAGTCGACTTCAACTCGACTTTCATCACATAAAAGTCTACTTTAAAATCAGAAGTCGTTCAACCCCTAATCAAAATACAGTATGTGGGCACAGAGAGGCAAACAAATGTAATAAATAATAAATGTACATTTTGCATGTTCATCAATGAAAACAGTTTTATTGAGAATTTAGCTGCATCAAAATACAGTATGTGGGCACAGAGAGGAAAACAAATGTAATAATAAATAATAAATGTACATTTTGCATGTTCAGAAGAAGTGATCTGCTCTGTAATGTAATAATGTAAACAGGCTTGTGCAAGTAAATTGCTCAGTGCAAAGAAAGAGAAGTAATGGGAACCTGGTATTTGTATGTTCTTTTTTTCAAGTGTCTAATAGACATGAAAAAGTTATTTGAAATACATCTAGTCTTCATGCTCTATGTTGACTATGGTTTCACTAATAATAAACATACATTTGCATTAGGCATCCATATTTGTTCATGCCCATGTTGATTAGAGTACTAGAGTATTAATTTAAGGTACATTTAGAACGGATAAAAATGTGCGATTAAGTTGTGATTAATCGTATCTTTGTTTTATTGTATTTGTCAGTTTCTTTTACTTTGTTTCTTTGTTCATGTTCTTACTGTATCTTATCTTATCTTTTATCTTATCTTATCTTATGTATATAAAACATTCAAGATGCCTGCACACTGGTGCATTTACAAATGTATGTTTTATATTCAATCCATTAAATATTTATTTTACATTTCAGAATATAAAGCAATGTTAATTCAGCTCTTTATTTGTTTCATATATATTAGGGGTGTAAAAGTACACAAACATGACGGTTCGGTACATACGACGTCACGGACGTCACGGTTCGGTATGGTTTCGGTACAGCAGGAGGAAAAAATACGAAACATTTTATTATTTTTTTTATTTTT